CTTAATATTTCAAGAGCTTGCTATCTTTGCTTTAGATGGGACAAGTTTAGGGATCATCTCCTATTATCATGCGAATACAGTTGAGAAATTTGACGCATGGTGTTGATACGGTTGACTCCTCTCAACACATGCTGAGGTCTTGGGCCGAGCTTATTTCATTGACAAATACATCATCTCGAAGAACACTTACCCTTCTTCGCACTTTAGCTGCCCAAGCAACAATCTTCAACTTGTGGAAACAGAAGAATAACGTGCTTCACAACTCCGAATCAATCCTTACATCCACTTTTTTCATCTGTATCGACCGAGATATCAGAAAAATCATCAATGCAAGACGATATCGACGCCGCTTCGGCAGCTTGATGGAGCTTTGGCTCCGATAACCAATATAATTTTGTTGTTAATCAATCTTAATTGTATGTTCTCCTTATTTTTTTTAACTTTTTTTGTTTTTGCTAGGGAAACATTCTAATAGGTTACAATATCCTGTAACTCTAAATTTCATTATATGATATTAACATGTTTAGAAAAAAAAAAAAAAATAATATCCACAAGATTGAAAACAAAAGTGGTAAAAGAAAATAATGAAACTGGACTTCTGTTATAACTTTAACAAAATAAAACAGACTTATCGGCCCAATACATTGATATTCGTGGGCCAGAGATCGGCCCTTAAAACTTCAAGGATTTGTCGGTTCGACTGGTCGTGTGGCAGACAAAATTTGAGTGGTCTGGTCTTCGTCACCTAAAAAACTCCCCACGTGGGTCTTTCCGTGGTTTCCCTTGTATAAGAACAATCCTCGTTATGGATATTTATTCAGATATTCAGATTTATATGGGCACGAAACTCAAAACTGATTATGGTTTATGTACTGCATATGTATGTTATTTTAAAAAGTTCTTCCCGCGTAAAAGTTACTACTATAGTATATGTATACTGTGAATCGTTGATTGGAAAAGAGATAAATACACATAAATTTATCTGTATGAAAGGATAAATAAACGTGTTAATAGACTACTGAAAAGTGCGTGAGTGTAACAAGTCAGATTCATGGGGCCATATCGGTATTATTTCGGAAACAGACCGATTGAATTTAATGTTGTCTGTTATTGGGATGTGAATATCTCCCTACCAATCAGACACCTCCATGCCTTATGATTTCTCTATAATTATTCATTTCATCTCATTTTTTTATTAATAAAAACAATTTCCTGTATTTACTCTTTTGTTACTTGAATCTCTGTAGAAGGTTTCACATAAAATTAATCATCTGATATTAATACCCTAACACGACATATAATATAAAGTGAAAATGTTGACCAACAAAAAACATATATGGTGATTTAGACTGAATTTAAAATGAGAAGAATAATAAAAAGTGTGACAAAACGAGGTTGTTGACGAATTTGACGCAATGAGACCAAATAAAAGAAGACGTTGACGACCTTTATTAGTGATGGGGTAATTAGGAAAAATCAGATATATGGGGTTAAATCGAAAAGATTACAATAGTCAAGGGACTTAATCCTTATATACTTTAATTTCGAGGAGGCAGGTGAGAGAGAGTGAACGCGTCATTTTCACAAAATTTGTAAACCGGGCCAGATAGATTTATAGTGATCAAACCGGGCCCAATTTCTTTCAAATTAGGACAATATATGTCGTCTTTGTTTTGTCTACCCCTGATTCTGTTCTCTTCTTGATTTCATTACAAAAAATTACAAATTTTAAGTTTTGGATTTATGAAAAAATCCAACATTATATCATACAAAACAAAAGATTTGTAAGAATATGGTCACAATATATGTTTACGGGGTTAAATCCATAAGAAACAAAAAAGAAAGGGATCTAAACTAGAATTAAAAATAATATTTGGGACATCTCTCTGCGTCGGTGACATGAAGCTTCTTCATCTATATTTAAGAACAATAACACATGTCCGAACACAACACACTCTTTAAGTATCTGTTTCAATTTAAAAATCTGCCTGTCCTTTTTTTTTCTTTATTTAAAAACCCATTTATTTCAGATTTTCAAAATCCAGAGTATATATATAATATACAATCTCAGAATAATTATATACCATTTTCGATCTTCTCCTGAAGGAAAAAAGTTGGAAACTTCGACGAATGTGAGTGAGAGAGAAAAAAAAGAAAGTATTTTTAAAATTCTTTGTCCTAAAATTAGTTTTTTTTTAGAATCGGTCTGAAATTCGTACAATAAAATCCGCCATTTTCTCCTCGGTCTCTCTGCTCTGCTCATCTCACTTCAGTATCGGATCTGGGTCTCCTTCGCTTTCGTTACAAGAGGTAGAAAAAGTTCAAATATTTTTCTATTTTATTCACACCAATTTCGTTCAGAATTATTTTTATATCGTTTACTGTTTCTAATCTGACTCTCTTCTTCTTTAATCCGTATTCATTCCAATACTCACCACTCATCAGTAAATTTTCGATTTTTATTTTCTGGGTTCGAATTCAATTCGATAAAAGTTTAATTTTTTTATTTCAATTTTTATATGTTTTTTTCCCCCTAAGTCACGGCATTGGAAAAAAGCAAAAAAACAGCTGTTCCTTGCTTCAAGCCCGAGATTAAGCAAATTATATATACTTCTTTTTTTATAAAACAATTCATTTCGAATCAATGCACTATAAAAATACCTACTTTTGACAGTATCTGAATAAACATCAACCAAACTTCAATCCAATCTCTACCCTTTTTTTTTTNNTTNNTTTTTTCTATCTCAACCACGTGATTTTGATTCGGTAATTATCCATATTCTGCACTATAAAATGAAACATTAAAGTTTTTTTTATTTTTTATCATCGATTGATGAAAAATTAAAGTCTGTCATTTTGTTTTTTGCAGATTCTGAGTTGTTTCTGGAAGACGAAGCGTTAACTGTAATTCATTGTTTGATTGCTTTTTGCTATTAAAGGCGGCACAACAAGTAAAGTAACTCATACACATATACATACACATTTTTACTTGTGTATGTCTCTTCTCTTTCGTCTCTCTATTTGGGGATTAGATCTTGATCTTCATTACAGAACTTGGATTCTGATCTAGAGTGAGAAATTCGGTTCTTGTCTTTGAGTGTATTAAATCTGGTGAGATAATGAGAATGAGTCTCGATTTCGATGTTGATCTTGAGAAAGGAATGTTAGATTGCGACAATGTTTTTACAAAATCACCGGAGAAGCCATTGATACCGACGTCTCCAGATAACAACCCGGTAAAAACCGGAGAAGAAACCGTCGGTTCGGTAGAAAACGATGGAAGTCCGGTTCAATGTGCGATTAATAAACCGGGATGGGGAAGGAGCGATCGTAAGGAGAAACGCAAGAAATCGGCGTCGAAACCTCCACGGCCGCCGCGTGGACCGTCGCTAGACGCAGCGGATCAGAAACTGATTAGAGAGATCGCTGAACTGGCGATGCTGAAACGCGCGAGGATCGAACGCATGAGAGCTTTGAAGAAATCGAGAGCGGCTAAAGCTGCGTCTGCGGCTTCTTCTCTTGGAAACGTCTTGGCCACGCTTTTCACCGCTATCTTCTTTTTTGTCCTAATTTTCCAAGGTGTGATTTGATTTCAATCTCACGATTGCGTTTGCGTTTCGCGATTGTCCGATTTTGGATTGTTCTAATGTTTTTTTTTTTTGTTTTAATTTTACAGGATCGTCGCCGAGAGCAGCCGTAAGCTCCGGGACATCTCCGTTAGTAGACGCCGGAAAAGCCAATGGTGGTTTTGTGTCGGTTCGATATGCGGGAAATCCTGCCGCGAGCGAACCGGGTAGAAGCTATACCGGACCGGTTTTAGCACAAGGATTGCCAAAGTACGTTGTTTCTCTATCATCTGGTTAACAAGAGCAATAATATTTCATTGCGTGAAATAATCTCTAATCCGGTTTGCTTTTCTGTACTCGCAGTTTACTAGAACCGATTTCCGGTTTGGAGAATGAAAAGAAGATGAATAGAGTTTCACAGTGAAGCGTAAACCAAAGGGTTGAGAATTGGACAATTCCATACTGGTTGATCAAAACCATTTATCGGTTTAGATTGTCGGTGAACCATGTACTCGTACCGATAAATTTTTGGGGCAAAATCGGCTGCTTACTCGGCAGCTACGAGAGACAATAACTATCCGATGTGGGTAAGATTAGTTTTGTAATGTTTTTCTTTGAAATAAAATGAGAGAAGTTACACATAAATTACAATATCAGTGTTATGCATTACTCAGTATTCAGTTATTATGATATTTGTACATTTTATAAATACAAACTGGGGGACTATTTTAGTAGATTGTTGCAGTTTCAAAGAATACATAGTAGTAGTAGTATCCAAATCTTGACGAAATTAAAACATATAAAATATGGGGAAACCAACATTATTGGTATGGATTTTTTTATACTTGAAATCACATGTTAACGATGCTTGAAGTTGAAATTTGAAATCAATTATTTTTAAATAACAATGTATATATTTGGGAACAGAATCCATGTGGCTGTATCTAAAACAGTCCACTGAGCTATAGAGAGACCACTTTTAGTGCTGCACAAAATTAACTGAACATGTGAATTCACGTGTGTGTGTATTGCAAATGTCTATTATTTCTGTTTCGTTGCTGTCTTCGGATGCTTCGTGGGCCCGTTAATTAAAGCCCATTAACTCCTAACTTCTTTTTTAGTTATCACTCACTCTTTATGCAGTTGCTAAAGAAATGTTTTATCAGGATAAACCAAAGTGATCTGATCTGGATCGAACTTCAAATTTATCCAAAAATATAACCCAGTCTTAATTTGTTACGTTTTGTATTTAAAAAAACTTTTCAAGAGAAGATAAATTGAACTCAAATGGAGATAAACCATAATCATATCAAACTAACTATTATGCTTTTTAACCCGTAGAAGTCAAACCAAATTCATTGATCAACGAATGCTCTAGATTAAAATTTGGTTGCTTCCAGATTTCCCTATACAGCCTGTGACTGTAAGATCCTTTTGTAGTTAATCATTTTTTTGCGGATTTCACTAGTTAAATATTTTTTGATCAACAATTTTCCAGCAGCAGAACACATTCGAATTGGAAAAGTGTTTTTGTTCGTGTCAATAATTACAAATATATA